GGCCCTGGGCAGGCGCGGTCGAGTCGGAGAAATGAGAAACCAACAGGGGAGCCACGCGGACGCTGGGCGCACCGGCTGCCCGGCACGTCGTATGCCCTCGAGACGCGCGAGCCACGGCACTACCACGGTGGCTCCTGATGATGCCAGGCTATCGTCCCAGCACGGGAGCCACGCTGAGAAGCGCGTTCATATCCTCACCGCTGACACCGTCACCGGCCACCTTCCTCCTGGAGCCCTCGGGACGCCTGCCCACGAGCCAGTGCTGGATGTGGTCCCCGGGGGGCGTCCGCGGTCAGCGGTCAGGAGCAGGAAGGCTCAGGGCAAGACTGAGGAGGAACCAAGGGTCCGCCGGGCTGGGGAACCGGGGGCAAAGGCGGGTCCCCCTGCAGACGCTGTGGCCCAGGGGCCCGGGCAGAGCTCGCTCAAGAGTGGAAGGCGGTTTGCAGCAAATCAAGGAGGACCCTGGGAGGCTGTGCACAGCGAGCCGGGACAGCCACCGTCCACCTCTGGTCACTGCCGTGTTGCCACCAGGATGCTGACGGGTCAGAGACCACGAACGGGATGGTAGGACAGCGGTTCTGCAAGTGGGGGCCTGAGGGCCAGCGGCACCGGAACGTGTAGAGATGCAAATCCTCAGGAACCCCCAGGCCTGCTGATAAGAAACTAAAGGAGACCCCCAGCCTCTGCAGGGAGGCAAGCGGTGAGCCAGCCTTTCTCCACTTCAGCCCTACCTGTAGAGAACCTGGGCAGCCCTCCCTAGGTCAAAGGTCAGCGAGGCAAACTATTCAAGGGATGTGGACGGACCATCTCGCTCCTTTTTTTTAATGTTTATTTTCTTTTGAGAGAGAGAGAGGGAGAGAGAGTGCACGAACACGAGCAGAGGAGGGGCAGAGAGAGGGAGACACAGAATCCGAAGCAGGCTCCGGGCTCTGAGCTGTGAGCACAGAGCCCCATGCGGGGCTCGAACCCACGGACCAGGAGATCACGACCTGAGCCGAGGTCGGATGCTTAACCGACTGAGACACCCGGGCGCCCCCGTCTCTCTTTTCAAAACTCCTCGGGCAAACCCAGCGGTGGAAAACCACCAGCTCAGAGAATGCACGGAACCATCCTGACCACATCCCAACCCGGGCTGTGGGCCCCATCCGGCCGCCAGCTCACCGGGCCCGCCCCAGGCCTGGCACATCACGTCCAGCGGGCTGTGGAGCACAGCCCCATGACGTAGACAAAGCAAAGGAATTTGCTTCACAAACACCCCCAGGGTCGACTCAGCTTGATTCCTGGCTTCTTTCTTTTTTAATTCTTCATTTATTTGAGGGAGCAGGGGAGGGACAGAGAGAAAGGAGAGAGAAAATCCCAAGCCAGCTCCCGACGCAGCACGGAGCCCCACTCAGCTCTCACGCACAGGATCCTGGGATCACAAACTGAGCCAAAAACAAGTCTGCGGCTCCACCCACTAAGCAACCCTGGTGCCCCCTCTTGGCTCCACTTCGTCACTAGCTAACGGGAGGCAGACAGTCCCCACGTCAGTCACGGGCCTGCTGTGAGGGAGATAAAGAGGATGAAGGCTCAGCCGGGCCGGATGTGAGGGAGACTGAGGCTAACTTAGGAGAATGACTCAGCATGACGGCTGTGGTGGAAACTGAGGAGAAGGGCTCAGGGGGGCCGGCTGTGAGGGAACCTGAGTAGAAAAGATCAGCATGGGGACTATGGGGGGAAACTGAGGAGAAGGGCTCCAGCATGGTTGCCTGTGAGGAAGAGCGAGGAGAAGCTCGGCAGGGCCGGTGCTACGAGCTCTCCACAAACAGTAGCTTCTGAAGGCGCGCTCTTCACACCCCTCTCTGAGTCCCTCCACATCGGGGGAGGACCCAACCATAACACACCGGTGTGCCTGCCCCCTCACCCTGGGTGACCCCTGTCCCTCAGTCTGGGAAGAGCACGATGGCCACCTCGACCCAGTGCCTTCCTTGGGGGATGGGCTGGGGTGTAGCGTACGAGTGGGGTGGAGGGAGAGCCCTGACCCACCGGACCGCTAATCCCAAATTTGGGGTTCAGCGGGAGGAAGCCGTGGCGATGTGGCCTTTGTACCGCCACTGCCGGTGACACGCCGGGGATTTTGAGCTACGCACGCCTGGGATATGGGCCGTGTGGGGTTGGAGGTCCAGGGTGAGCATGGGGACCATTCCCACCGGGACACAGTGGAAGGACCACCGGGCCTGAGTTACCGGCCGTGCCGGGAGACCTGGCAAGAAGTGGGGCCACCGTCCCGTCGGGGGAACGGCCCTCGACCCGCGGGAGGACGGGGCTGCCGTGGACAACGGGCGCCACAAATCCAGCGGGCGGGCCATCCCCTGCTGGCGCTCCCCTGTGGCGCCAGGACCCACTCTGGGGGCTGAAGGACTCGTCCCCTCTGCTGCCAGCCCCCAAGTCACCCCCAAGGTCTCCACGGCAGCCTGAACCCAATGGCTGGGACTCGGGGAAGCAGAAAGACCCTCCAGCGCCCAGGGTCCGGCTGAGCCTTAGGGGGGACGGCACCCCTCTCCCACCACCCGCCCCGCTTCCGTCCCCGACACCGCGGCTCCCAGACCGCCGCCCTCAACCTCTTGCCCACCTCAGACTTGCTTCGTGCGGCAGAAGCCCCCCGATCTCGGGGTTCGCGGTGTCCTCCGACGTAGCCTTGTCCGCGGCGGGGGGGGGGGGGGTTGCGGGGCGTCCTCTCCCTGACCCTTCCCCTTGTCTCTGATTCGGAATCGGGACGGGGTTTGGGGGACTCCTTCACGATCCCAAGGGCCGTTGTCCTTAGCCGCCCGGGAAAGGCCGGCGCACGCCGGCAGGCAGGGCACCGAGGGCATCACAGATGGGAGCCCGGCCGAGAGCCTGGGGCCCGGGCAGCCTGGGGGGGGGGGGGGGGGCCTCAGCCACAGCAGCGGGAGGTGAGCCTCGGGCTTCATCCGCCCCAAGCAGCCTCACCGCAGACCGTCCTTCGGCCAACATCAGGCCAAGAATCGCCCGACGCTCGCGAGGGAAGCGGGTTTAACGTGGTCCCGATCGCCTCGGCGCTCTGGTGCGTCGCCAGCAGCGGGGTCTGGTGAAAGTCACACGACCGTGTGACGCACGGTCTCCCCGGCGCTACCCGCGTGAGCCCCGACCAGCTGCTTCCTTCGCTTTGCCGGGGCCGACGTTCGTCAGCTGGAAGAAGGGGAGGCTCGCAGGGCCGGGGTTACGGGAGATAAAGGACGTCAGGCCTCCAGCACGGGCCCCACCTGACGGGCATTAGCGTTTTCACATAAAGGGTTTTTAAGCTTCTCGGTGCGATGAGCTGTGATCAGCCCCTCCTGGCCGATTCATTTACCTCCCGCCGTGCCCTCTCTAAACAGGGACACTGTTTCCACCTGGGCAGAACAGGAGGGACGTCTGGGGCAGCCGTGCAGGGCAGGGAACCGCCTAATGAGCGTGGCTTATCTTTACCCAGCGCTTCTGCCTTGTAGACGCCGCTGTTTTGCCGCAGGCCAGCCCTTCCGGGAGAGTGATGCTCTCCTGCAAAGGGTGAGTTACGTCAGGCCGCTTGCCCCCCGGGGACACGAGGCGGTCAGCGCCAAGAGAGAGGACATGTGCAGTCGGGAGCCCAGAGGGGGCGCTGGGATCGCCAGGGATGGGAGCCTCTGCTGGGACAGCCCCATCCCAGAAATGAAGTCTCCTTGGCGGGTGTGGGTTTTGAGCCCCCACCCCAGAGTTCGCTGCGGGAACCCAGGGTCGGTCACTCAGGGAAACGCTTCGCCCCGGGCGGAGGACAGGCCGGACACATGTGTCAAAGGGAGAGGACAAGCCAGCGTCCTGTTCAAGGCTCCATCGGGAAAGTCCCACACCGCGGCCAGGCTTCAGCCGGCCGGCTGACCCCGGGGTCCCCCAAGCCCTGGACTCAGAGGGAAGGGGACAGGCTCTGGCAACCTGACCCTCCTATGAGCACGAGGTTGACCCTCTCTGGCCTCGTTGCCCCCACGCCCAGTCTACACAGTACAGGCAGCCCACGGGCCCCAGCACAGCCGTGCAGGACAGTGGTCCTAACGCCACCACAGGTTACAGGCGTGGACAGGACAGACACCCGTCCGAGCGGTAGAAGACTCACCCCGGCTCCAGGCAACCGCAGAGCCCAAGCACCTACCCCTGCTTCACTCCGTGTAGCTCTAGCAAGTGCCTCTTCCTCCAGAGAGCCCTCCCTGACTCCACCCCCATTCCCAGGCCACTTCCTGCTCACAGGTACATTCTTTCCCTTTCCATGCATCTGCTTTTCTCCACCGAGGGAGGATTTGTGCGGCTCTTGAGAGCCGGGACCGTGTCTTACTTGTTTTATGTCCTTGCGTGCGTGCAAAGGCCCGTAGTGGCGCAAAGCTAGACTGCTGGGCTTTCCCGGGAGGGGCCGCCGTGCGGAGTCATGGAGGTGGGGGGCTGAAGCGGAGCCTGGAACCGGCCTGTCACCGGCACCACGTGTGGGCAGCTCAGTCGGTTAGGCATCCGACTTCAGCTCAGGTCATGATCTCGTGGTTCATGGGTTTGAGCCCTGTGTGGGGGTCTGTGCTGACAGCTTGGAGCCTGGAACCTGCTTTGGATCCTGTGTCTCCCTCTCTGCTCCTCCCGCACTTGTGCTCTGTCTCTCTCTCTCTCTCTCTCTCTCTCTCAAAAAATGAATAAAAAATTTGAAACCGGTAGCTTAACTGACTGAGCCACGCAGGCATCCCCAAACCATTCCATTTTTAAAAGAATTCCCGTTTGAGATCAAATTAAAATTACTCCAGAGACAATAGGCCCTTTAAAAATAAGCTCAGAAAGTCAGTCTCGTTAACTGTCAGGAACTGCGCCTGACGCGTCCCGCAGGAGCCACGAGATGGTGAATGAGTTTCCTCGTGTGGAGCCCAAGGGAGGAGGGGGAGGTGGTGGCTCCCCGCTTGGGTCGGGGCTGCTCCCCGAATGACCGGGCATCAGGGCCACGCATCTTCGTCCTGTGCCCAGGCCTCGCCCAATGTGCTCCCGCTGTGCCCGCAAGCTGGGGCCTCGCTGGGTAGTCCCAGCCACGACTGGCCTCTCTGACCCGGGCCGGGGGTCTCGGCCAGATTCCCTCTCTGCCCACCTCACCCCTGGGACTGAGGGCCACTGGGTCATCTTGGGGGTCACGGCCCCCATGGGCAGGGCTGGACCAGGGTGACCCAGAGAAGGGACTCTTGTCCCTGGTTTGCCCGGGGCCACCCTCGGAGAACCCCAGGGCCCCTCACGGGCGGTTCCTATGCAGAGATGTTGGCCCCGTCAGGGCGGGCAGCAGCCCAGGGCACTGACCCCAAACCTCCCGACTGTGTGGTCACTGCCCTTTAGTTCTCTTCGGATGCTTCCAGAGGAATCCGCGTCAGTCACCAGCTTCGAGGTACTTAACGATAGTGTTTATTTCTTCCTTCAGTTTTCTCCAAATGGGGTGATTAATACTAGTCCCCCAGGCTGGGGGCTCACGCCCTGGCCCCAGGTCATCCCCACGATGGCCTCGACCCGGGGTTTGGACCCCAGGAATCGGGTCCTTGAAGAGGGCGTGGGCTGGGGGTTGGGGGTGCGGGCTGGGGGTCTGGGTTGTGGATGGGGGGTCAGGGGCGCGGGCAGGGGGTCCGGGGTGTGGGCTGAGGAGTCAGGATCCAGTCTGAACCTGAGTGCTCATCACAGAATCCACCTCAGCTCTGGATTTTCTCGGTGGTGCGGGAGAGGGGTGAGGTGCAATGTGGAACAATGTGTGGCTCGGGATGAAACCAGGTCACGGAGGTGGGACTTGGTCCAGAGCACCTCCTTCTTACTCACTCCGCTGTCCCGGGCTCTTGGAAGCAGCCCCCTGCAAGCCCACTGCTGCTGGCAGAGATCTGCCCCCAACACCTCCCCTGAGAAGCCTCCCTGACTCTCACCGGCTCCTGTTGGCCGGCCCCCGTATGCACGTTTGGTGCTCCCGCAGAAATTTGCACTTCGTCACTGTCTTCAGACGACCCTTCAGGGATCATTTCTACATTTTGTCACGAGAGAAGTTCCTATGAATGTGTAGAACACAGAAGGATCCATAAACATAAAGTCCCATTGTTTGGGGGGAAATGACCGTCTTGTTACGTTTCTTGATCGTTTCATGTTAATTTTAGTTTTCCGGGGGCATTTCAAGGTCTTTTAGGAACGAGAAGCTTGCTTCTCTTACTTGCTTTCTGCATTTTTTTTCTTTAAAAAACAAAAACAACTTCACAGCATCTACCAGGGTGCCAGGGAGCTGAAAAGCACTGGGTAAATACAGTCAGAGGATGGTGAATGAGTTCGGAATAGGCCACCACCCTGTAGGACAGCTCACATGCTCACCGGGTGACTGCTGAATGAATGAGCGAACACCCCCTTGGCTCAGAAATGGATCCCTTCCCTCCACTCTCCCTGCTGGCTGGCTTGGTGAAGAAGAATTCACCAGAAACAGAAAAACGACGTAAAAAAATGGAATGAGACAAAAAATATAGTAGTGTGTGGGATGAAGTGCTTGGCGGGTAAGTGACTTCTGTACATTCTACAGGGGGGTTCTGGCTCCTAGCCTCTCCTGCATTGGCAAAAGCAGCTGGGGGTGTGTTTGGAAGGCACCCGCTGGATCTGTGCCCTGTCACCTTCCAAAAACCCCTGCTTCCTCTGTCGCTGAAAGGCAAACCACGAGACGGGAAAATTCAACAGGAGGAATGGTTACACACATTTAAACACCGGTGTCCCAGAGAAAATCTTTCGTGGGACCTTCGACACGATCAGTTGCTATCTGCACACGCGGACTTCTGTTTGCTAAGGGAGGGGACTGAGGAAAGGTCTTCAGCTTGACAGAGTGATTGCTCGAGCAGACGTGCCCATCAGTTTGCCTGGCTGTGCATAATTTCCCCTCTGGGTTAGGATGCTGTTCCCACGGCCCCTGTGCTGGGACATCCGTCTTCACGGCCACATGTGGAAACCTGACCTCAGTGACCAGTGACATTCCGCTGGAGTTTTAAGATAGAATCTACGTAGATAAATAATACACAGTAGAGGGAGAAAGAATTTTTTTTCTTTCTAGATTTCCTTTTGGAAAGGTTTCTTCAGAAAACATTTTTTGACTAACTCAGGGTAAAAGTTGAGTCTTCAGGGCACGATTTATTCAATACGAGACTAGAGGGTGTGTGTGTGTGTGTGTGTGTGTGTGTGTGTGCGCGCGCGCGCGTTGGGGTGAGGTGGGGAGGGTTGCAAGTCGGGTTCGCTTGTGTACCTTTAGAGGAAACACAGGAAGAGCAAGAGGAAGGGGTGAAGGGGGAAGCCTCCACAGTGGCTCTTCCCATCGCTCCCCTTCATCTTATGTAAGATGACTAAACTCACAAAATAATTGAGCCACATTAGTTGGAGAGGCAAAAGCCATGATGGGGCAAATCTCTGCGTTCACACCAATGCATTGGAGTATGGACGGTTCAAGCATGGCAGCAGACAGGAACACAGAGGAACTACGGGAGGGCGTTCAGAGTTTCACAGAGCTATAATATTGGGCGGCTGAAACACAGAGGAATCTGCGACATCTGCTGAGGATGAGGATCCAATGAGCACTTTGGATGGATGGATGGATGGATGGATGGATGGATGGATGGAAGAGTGGATAGATGGATGGGTGCATGGGTGGATAGGTGGGTGGATGGATGAGTGGATGGATAGATGGATGGGTGGGTAGGTGGGTGAGTTGATGGGTGGATGGGTGGGTGGATGGATGGATGGATGGATGGGGAGTGGATGGATGGGTGGGTAGATAGATGGATTGATGGATGGGTGGATGGATGGGTGGATGAGTGGATGGATGGGTGGATGGATAAGTGGGTGGATGGATGGATGGATGGAAGGAAGGAAGAGTGGATAGATGGATGGGTGC